TTCTTTATGTTCTTTAGTGGGGATACTCAATTTAAAACAATTGTTTCCTATACATTTTGGAGAAACTGAAGAACTTTAAACTTGGGACCAGAAGGGTAAGCACATAAAACAGTCAAAAAGAAAATTTAAAATGATCCATTTATTTCCCAAATTTGTGTTTGGTTAATAAAAAAAAATCTATTTCAATATCTTCTATATAATATAAACTGCCTCTGAAAACGCACAGGAGGGTCAGCTATGGATCAGAGCTGACTTGATGGTACAGAACAACAACATATGGATGTAAGGATTAAACAGAGATGATGTCTTCCTTGAAGCTGATACAACAGAGCAAGGAATCTAAGACATAGATATTAATTCATGAGACAGGCTCTGATAAGAGGATTTCAAAGTTTCACAGTCATTTGTGCCAGGAGGTAGAGTGATTACAGAGGGACACTGGAGAATGCTCAGCCTTGAGAAAAGCAAGAATAGGACAGAAGGGTAAGTCAGGTACCTTGAAGCCAAACATAGAGGCACTAGAAAATTAAGCCATTAGATTTGTTTGGACTGGCAGCAAAGTTTGAAGAAGCTTGTTAAGTATTTGGTAGGATTCTGTGAATAAAGCGGAGTCAGTGAAATATGTGAGCAGGCACATTGTCAGGGCTGGAGAAGTATTTTAGAGAATTATCAGAGAGCAGGAGCGGCATCCACTTCCTAACCAACATGCCTCTGGGAACCCTATGAACTTTGGTGAATGACAGTAGTTTCAGAAAGGCTTCAGGCCGTTTGTTCATAGGGTCACTATGAGTCAGTCGTGCTTGACTTGATGACAATCAACAACAACAATCCTACAATAAATTGCAAGAAGATTTAAAGGGAGAATTGTAGGGAGCCCAAGAGTGAAATGACAGAATGGAGCCATGGATGAGAGTGCTGGGGTGAGGAAAATGTCACTTCTTCTGTCTTTCTCATTCCCCCTTCAGCTTCCAGGTCCCCAGAAGTTAGACCACACCTGCAGTCAGAAAGTACCACGAAGCTTTGTACCTAAGACTTCAGGTACAGAAAGAGAAGACCTAGCTGGAGCCAAGGGCCTGGCCTCAGAAGTCCTTTATTCTTGTCCCAGAATATTTCTTCCCCTGAATAAACCTAAAGATCAAAGTAAACACTGGAGACCAACAGAGAATCCCTATTGACATAGGTATTTCCAGGCTATCAGTTTAGTCTTTTTCCTATGAATGACAGAATACCTGACTCTCATAACTCCAGGCAAGATTACCTCAGTTGATTCTGTCAGATAAGATTTTATTTTCCCCTCCTTCCTTTCCATGAGCTTAGAAACATGCAAGAAAATGTGTGTGGGTTTAAGGCAAAATGGGAATCCTTGGTAACTTTTTGGAGATTCCTGCTGGTCTATGGCATAAGGGCTTGCTTTACTGAAGGAAATTATGGCTTGGGTTTTTGTGCTTAACTCTGTAAATGCAAACTATTTACCTCTCCCTATCCAATTCTAGGGAGCTCTGGTGGCCTAGTGGAGCATAGCCGCACTGCAATCTCAAAGGCACCCGTTTCAAATCCACCAGGATGAGCAGTCTCCTCCCGTGTGATTAACCACCTCTGAAAACCCGCTGGAGGGTCAGCTATGGGTCGTTACAGCTCTGTGGTACACAACAACCACAAAATGCAATTCTAAAAGGAATGCCTACTTATCTTTATACCCAATCTCACCTACTGATCGCTAGGAATTTTTCCCTAGGAGTCATTCTCTTTCCATTCCTTTTCTCTGACTTCTTGACTTAGAGAAAACTGCATAGTATTGCATAGAGAATACTAGATTGAAGATGCCAGAGACTAGCTTCTGATTAGGCTTGTCTCTAACCCATTTGGTGATTTTAGGCATCATCTACACCTTGATTATCTTTTTTATTCTATAAGGGATATGACTCAGAAAATCTCATGTGTTCCTTACTTTTAGAGAATGTCCCATAACTGTCTCCCCTATTCTGACAGGAATTCTCCACCCAGACAGGTTCTGTACCTTGAGTGATCTGCTGAGAATAGGCTGTGTTCTCCATTCCACTCTTCATGAGCTGAGGTCTACAAAAAGCATCCTCCACGGGGTAATCCTTGGGGTTCCGTTGGTTGGTGAGCAGGTGGAACTCAGGCACAATGTAAATCAGCAGGAAAACCCAGCCATTGGCAACCAAGGCTGAGCTGAGGATGGTATCATCCCACTCTGAAGCAACATCATGGATGAAAAGCAGGGTTATCCAGGCCACCCAGATGGCAATAGAGAAAAACATGGTGAGAAAGATATGTGCCCCGTGTCTCTTCCAGCCAGTGAAAGATCCACAGAAAGTGAAGGAGGATGTGAGGAAGGTCAGCACCATCAGGATGAGGACATAGATGAGCAGCATGACAAAGTCCTCATTGCGACGTTGAACAGAAAGCTCAGAAAAGATATTGGCATCGGTCCTGTTCATGGTGAGGACAAGGTATTCAACAGCAATGATATCTTGTACCAGGCTGAAGCCCACAGCTAGGGCCAGGATCATCAGCAAGGAGAGAGGCTTCCTCCCATAAACCAGTTTTATCAAGTTCAAAGCATGAGCCAAGAGGCAAGAGAAGCAGAGAGCAAAAAGGATGCCAAAAAGGAAGAAGCGTGTGGGCCCCGTTCCACTGTCCAGTTGGATGATGAAGGCAAAGGTGAGGCCGAAGATCCCCAAAACCCCCAGGAGAAAGAGAAACTGAGTCGGGAGCACTTTTCTCTTGTTGGAGTCCTGCACCTTGCAGACGAGGATCAGGAGAGTAAGCATGAAGGCAGCTGTGGTTACAATCCCAAACACAGCCAAAGCTTCCAGGACAATGCCCCAGGCTTCATTCCTATCACAGAGTCTGTAGTATCTGGATCCCAGGCCATGATGGCAACCAAGTGGAGGAGTAGGTGTAGTCATTGTGGTCCTACCTGAAAACAAAATGGGGAGCAAGAGATAAGCAAAGGATAAGCAAAAGGAGTACAAACAAAATTTGCATGCTTAGCTAGGGGTTTGCCCCTGAATTTATTCACTATATAAAGATAGTAACTTTTCCTTCTTCAGACAAATTCTAAAGGCTACTGAAAGGAAGGAACAAATCTTACATTGTCCTCCTCCAACGTAACTACGTTAATATTTACCATAAAGCCAGAGGGCCTAACACTCTTATGAAGTGGCTTAAGAGCCTAGCTTCAAAATAGATAAAATCATACAAATAACCTCCTGAGGTTGCTGATATTTTTTGGTTAGTGCTTTCTGAGAAATTAGTGAACATGGGAAAACTGAGGTGAAAGGCAATAATAATTTCTCAGTCTTGAGTTTCATTTTGTTTTCCCACCTTTGTCCTTGTTTTAGATATTTTGTGAGCATCTCATTTTCTCATGGCTTATAAGAGATGCATTTTCTTTATCTGCTATGTAGACTTTTCCAGAGAAAGCCAAACAGATATTCATTTCTGAGCTCTGTAAGGGTAAGGGCAAATTGAAAAGAAGAGATTCCAATTCTCACAGAGCTGTGCTCCATAATGTGTTTATTGGCTGTTTTTTCAAAAAGCAGATTGCCAAACCTTTCTTCCTACTTCATTCTCTTTGGCAAGGTCCACAGAAACATGGTCAGCATCACAGTTGCACACAAGCTACAGATGACAGACAAGCAGTGGCTGCACTAGGGCGTTTTCAGGGAATTGAACCTGAGTCACTGCTATGGGAAGCAAGAGTTCCTTACACCACTGAGCCACCACTATCATAACCTACTCCAGATTAGCAAACGGAATGAAAGAAATTTGTATTTTTTTAAAAAATCGTCAATTGTCCAACAGTAATTCTCTGTGTGTGTGTATATGTATTAGCTAAAATGTACTCATTCGGGGAGCTCTGGTGGCCTAGTGGCAAGAAGCTGCAACTACAATCCCAGAGGCGCACGGTTCGAATCCACCAGATGCTCTGCCGGGGAAGGAGGGACAATCTCCTCCTGTACCAGTCAGATCTAATTTGACGGTACACACACAAACACACACAAATAATAAAATAAAAAAAAATTTTAAAAATGTACTTATTCATCTAATCACTTTATATATCAATATATGTGTGTATGTGTGTGTTCAGGGAGCTCTGGTGGCCTAGTGGTAGGAAGCTGCACTGCAATCCCAACGTTCGAATCCACTAGCTGCTCTGCAGGAAAAGGATAGGAAACATCTCACTGCCAAGTTAATGTCAACTCTGTAATACTGTAAGACTGTAAGACAAAATTGAACTGACAGGGTTTTCAAGCTTTAAAATCCCTATAGAACTAGATCACCACATCTTTCCCTGGTGGGTTCAAACTGTCCACCTTTCAGTTAACAGCTGAGCCCTTAGTCACTGAGCCTCAGGGCTCCTTCATATGTATACATTCATTTCATTTCATAGCAATTCTAGGAGTAAAAAAACTTCTTATTTCTGTTTTAAAATAAGAAAACTAAGACAATGAGAAGTTAAGTTACTTGCCCAACACCATATAGTCAATAAATGCAGGGCTATGCACACCCATGTTTATTGCAGCTTTGTTCACAGTAGCCAAGAGTTGGAAACAACACAAGTGTCCATCAACAAACAAATGAATAGAGAAGCTGTGGTATATTCACCCAATGGAATACTATGCAGCATTGAAAAACAAGGAATCATGAAATATTACACGAATTAGATGACCCTGGAAGACATTATGCTGAGTGCAATATCTCGGTCACAAAAAGACATACTGCATAGTGCCACTGTAATAAAACAAGACTGACATTGGATTTGGGGGTAAACTAAGAAAAGAGGGAATAAATAATGTATACTACATTGAAAGAGATGAAGGAGAGAACAGTTTAAAAGGGATATATGATTAGGTATTATTTACATGACAAGAGTCCAGAATAAGAGCTACAAAGTAAAGTAGACTGGGGGAGGGGGGGGTGAATTGTATAACAATGAAAGAATTTTTTCTTTTTCAAAGAGAAAAGTGAACTGGGGTGGGGGCAGGGAGGAAAATGTGCAACAATGAATGAAGGGAAATCCAAGTTCTCTAAAATCTTTCATTAAAAATTAAAAAAGAAAAAGAAATAGAAATGCAGGGCTAAGACCTTATTCCAGATTTCCTCCAGGATCCATGCTCTTAAATGTTAGAGGTTGTGTTGTTGTTGTTGTGTACCATTAAGCTGGAACCAACCCATAGCCGGCCCTCTGGCAGGTTTTGGGGGGCAGTAATCACATGGGAGGAGATTGCTCATCCTTCTCTCTCACAGAGCAACTCGTGGATTCAAACCATGTGTCTTTGGTATTGCAGTGCATCTCCTTGCCAAGAGGTCACCTGTGCTTTCTCATTCTAAAGGTGCTAACTCTCAGACAAGATCTAATTGGCTCTGAATCTGAGAGAGATATTTGCTCTTGTCCTTGATCGCCCCTCTTTCCCTTCCTTCTCCCTCCCACTTTCTCATCATTTGCAATTCTCTTTATGGTCTTGGTTCCATATAGTACCTGAGGATAGGAGCTCCCAAGGAGGAAATGCCATTGAGATCACTTCCATTGAAAAGTAGCACTGAACACAGTCTTTATCAATGGCCAAAGGTGGTTGTTGTTGTTGTGCACTATCAAGTCAACTTCAACTCACAATGACCTTACAAACAGCTACTCTGAACCCAGCCCTATCCTGAGGCAACTGTTTTAGCTGTCATTCAGTAGATTCCAACTCATGGTGACCCATGCATGCAGAGTGGAATTGTTCCCAAGGGTTTTGAAGGCTGTGACTTTTCAAAAGCAGACGGTAGGCCTATTTTTTGAAGTACCTTTAAGTGGTTTCCAAGTAACTAAACTTTCAGCTGGTAGTCTAATGTTTAACAGGGACATACATACTATATACACATACACATATAGAGGACCTGTGATGGCATAGTATGTAGGGAGTTGCACTGCTAACCTAAAAGCCACTCTTTCTGGTGGTTCAAATCCATCAGCAGGAGAAATAGGAGTAATCTCCCCCTGTATGATTTAGAGCCTTCAGAAACTGGTAAGCCTTTTTTCTTTTTTATTATTATTAATTTTAATGAAAATTTACAGAGACTTGGGATTTCCCTTCATTCACTGTTGCATTTTTCTCCTTGCCCACCCTCCGCTAGCCCCCAGTTCACTCTTCTCTTTGAAAAGTAAAAGAAAAAAAATCTTTCAATCCCTCCCCCTCAAGTCTACTCCAGTATGCAGCCTTTGTTCTGGGCTCCTGTCATGATATTGTTAATTTCAATGAACATTTACAGAGACTTTGAATTTCCATTCATTCAATAGGCTTACAAAAAAAAAAACAAAACCACCACCCACTGAAGGACAGCTGTGATTTGGTTCTCTCTGGATAGTAGTGAGTTGAGCTGCCAATACATTTAGAGGGATGTTGCTGTTGTTATGTGCCGTTGAGTCAACTATGACTCATGGGGACTCATGAACAATGGACCTGAACCCAGCCCTATCCTGAACCAATCTCACCCTCTGACACACCTGCCCCCATTGCCATAGTCACTGTGTCAATCCATCTCATCTAGTGTCTTCCTCTCCTGCTCTGACCCTCTACCCTTCCAAGCATGAGGTCTTTCCCTAAGAATTGGTCCTTCCTGGCAATATGCTCAAAGTATGTGAGAAGAAGTTTTATTATATGTTAGAATATTACATAAGCATGTGCAAAAGAAGAGGAAGTAACGTTGGAGGTGATGGCTGAGTCGGACTTCTACCCACTTCACAAAAGGGAAATATCCCCATCAATAATAGCCCTAGCCACAAATAGCTACTGAGTAAGATATACCCATGCCCCATGCTTCTGCACATCTTTTTACCAACCATTCAGGTCCAATATTTGTTGTTGACCCATAGATTTTACTCACAGTTGTGGTACCAAGAGTAAGGGAAATAACTTGGAGAGTGGGGGAAGCCAAGAGTATTACCCAATGCAAATTCAGGTTTTAGCCCCAGGAATCCCAGGACACAATTCCTTAATTAGTCCAGGCTCCAGTTTCAGTTCAGCAGTCAGCTTTTCCTTCCATCATCCGGCTAGAACAACAAAACTTTTAACTGGAGCCTTTATCTCAGGGCTCCTCTGGTTACATCTTGCCAGTTTCTCCTCAGCAATACAACAGTCCCTCCACCACCATCACTAGGTCTCACCACCATCGTCTTACTCTCACCAGGGTCTTGCTCTGGTCTTATTCCCACCAGAGTCTTGCTCCAGTCTTTATCAAGTCTTGCTACTCAATGTGGGGAGTTCCTTCCTTCCTTCCTTCCTTATTCCCTTCCCTCCCTCCCTCCTTCCTTCCCTTCCTTCTTTCCTCCCTCCCTTCTTTCCTTCCTTCTTTCCTTCCTGTCCCTTCCTCCCTTCCTCTCTCTCTCTCTCTCTCTCTCTCACACACACACACACACACACACACATCCATGTCCCACAGCTGCCAATGATTTGCACGACCATACGAAGTTAAGGTAGTTGGAGACCAGTGACAACTAACATAATGGCTAGAAAAGCCAACTTCTAAGCTAACACCCCAGCATGTATCTATATGTATTCAAATAAAATGATCCCAAATAAGAATTTTCATCTAGATCTCTTTCTGACTTTAATGAAATGTTGACTATGCAAATTAAGTCCTGTATTATATAGTCATTCACACAATAAAAATTTACTGAATACTATTCTGCACCAATCTTTCTTCTAGTTATTGATAATCAAATGGGGAAGGGTGGGAGACCACAATTGCCCTTCCACAGTAGAGAAGACAATCTGCTAGCTCCTGAAAGGTTTTTCAGGGCCTTCCCTCACTGTGGGCCTGCCACCTGAAAACTATTTAATCCAGATGCCATGAACTTGACTTTGATTCATGGTGACCCCATAAATGTCAGAGTAGACTATGCTCCACAGGGTTTTCAATG